GGGGGAGCCCCCGCTTCTGGCACCCCGAGCCCCCCTGGTGCCGACCCCTGCACAGCTTCTGTCCCCAGACTGCTGGCGCCTCTGGTCACTTGGTGTCCTCAGTGGACCACCGCCCCAACGCTGGGGCCCCGCCAGAGCCAGGCAGACGCCCCAGGTGGCCTTTGGGGAGGACACTGCCCAGGTCCAAGCTGGCTTTTCAGAGCGGGATTCGCCCGAGTGGTCTGGACAGGGACAAAGGCGCCCTGGGCCATGAGTCCTGGGTGCAGTGCACAGCTGTGAGGCCAGGGACTGGGCTGTCCACCCCCAGGCCTAGGTTTCAGCCTCCTGATATCCTGGATGGGGGGGTTGGGGTCGAGGGGTGCAGCCAGTGAGGGTGCAAGAAGGGCCAGGCTCCCCCTCCCGGCCGAGCTCACCCCCCAGCGGGCCGGGAGCTGGGCAGCAGGTGTCTGCGGGGGCCCCGGCCAGGGTGCCCTGAGCCTCCAGCAGGAGAGCGAGCAGGAGGCCCAGAAGCCCACATGGCCGCAGTGGCAGTCGGGGAAGGTGACCGCTGCATGGGGAGCCGTGGGTGACCGGGGCTCCCCAGGGACTGTCCTCTCTCGCCGGTCCCTTCATCTCTGGCAGGACTGCCCCGTGCCGAGTCTGCTCCTGCACGCCCTCACTCGCTCTCGTCCTCCCTCCCCCACCCCGTGCCCAGCAGGCCGGACGCCCCCGAGCTGGCGGCTGGACCCCTGTCAGAGGCGGCTGGGCACCCAGGCAGCTCTGAAGAGCCAGGGATCCTGTGCTTTGGGGGTCACAGCGCTGCTAGTATTTGGAGGAGAAAGTCGTCCAGCGTCAAGCCCGGTCCATTTTGTTAAGCCGAACAACCCACAGCTTCTTTGGCTGTGGCTCCCCGTCCCGACGCTGCCGCTGGCAGGACCTGGTCACGGCGCTCGCCGTGGGACCCCCGGGTCCAGCGTGGACTTGGGTTCTGAGATTCCGGGCCAGGGAGAACCTGCCCTCTGCCTCCGTGGTGGGACCCGGAGCCGCTCCCGCCCCACAGGCCGCACATTTCAGCCGGGGCAGGGAGGCTGGTGACTGCCTGGTGCCGGGCGGGCACCCCAGTGTGCACACGCATAGGCGCCGCTGGCCCTGGCCGTCCTGGCCCGTGAGCAGGAGGACGCTGCTGGACCCTGACTCCCTGCGGTGGGTTGCGGCGCTCCTTGCTGCCTGCCGAGGTGTCGTGCGGCTCCTGCACTGTCCGTGGGCCTCCGAGTGGACCAGGCCTGCTGCCCGGTGCACGAAACGCGACAGGGCCATCCGCAGACTGGGTGTCACGTCCGGCGGGCCCGGGGCCCGGGAGGTGGTCTCTGTCCTCACGCGGGGCATGCCAGCCCTGGCCGGGCCCTGGGTGCCTCTGGCCGGGAGCACCTGGCTTCACACCTGGACTGCTCGGCGAGTGGGTCACTGAGCCTCTGCCTGCCCTCCCGCACTCTCTCCCTTCCCGCTGCTGGACTGGCAAGTTGAGACATTGTTTGGGCAGTCACTGGCTGCCCGAGACCGCTGCAGCCCCCATGGGCCCTGACTCTGGGGGGGATATCTGGTTTGGGATGAGTTGGTGCGTTGCGGGCCTGCCGGGAGGGTCCGCCTGGCCCTTTGTCCTGAGGGTTTGGCTGCCCTGGCAGATTGACCCCTGCTCCCCCGTAGGGTCTCCGACAGATGCCGCCTTCTTTGTGGCATGGTCCCACACCGGGCCAGGAAACCCTGCTGGTCCCCTGCCGTCTTGCCGGGGACCTGGTCTCTGGCTCGGCCACCTGCCGCCTCTGCGGCTGTGCAGGCGGCCCATGGGCCATGCCCCGGCCTCCAGTGCTCTTCTGAGGGTGCAAGGCCAGGCTGGCGACGTGCCTTTACGTGCCGGGTGCAGAAGTGACCAACAAGTACCCACTGTCCCCACGCCAAGTCCTTCACTTTCCTAGGATCTTGGAACCATTTCCTGCTAATCTTCCTTACTGTCCATCATCCCCACTCTTCCCTGCCCTTTGTGGCCACCCCCGACACATGTTATCCCACAGGTTAAGCCTCTGTCTCACCTTTTCACCCATCAGACACCCACTTGCCCATCCTTGCATCCATCCACTACACATCCACCCACCCATTCATCAATTCCCCATCCATCCATCCATCCATCCACCCACCCATCCACCATCCATCATCCACCATCCATCATCCACCATCCATCATCCATCCATCCATCCATCCATATACCCATCCACCCATCCATCCATCCATCCATCCATCCATCCACCCATCCATCCATCCATCCATCCATCTATCCACCCACCCACCCACTCACCCTTCCTTCCTTCCATACACCCACCACCCAGCCACCCATGAGTGGGTGAAAAGGCAAGATAGAGGCTTAACCTGTGGGATAACACACGTCAGCCCTCCAGCCAGATGTACGTTCTTACATCTCGCTTCATTTATCCAGAGATTGTTTGGCCATTTGCTCCATTTACATGCTGGATTGTGCTAAGTAGTTTGTGTCTGTACCCATTAAGTTTACAGCCCAGCAGAGGACTGTGGAGTAGGTGTGTGTGAGGTGGGGGGTGGCACTAGGCGGAGAGTAAGGACTCCTTGGCTTCCTAAATACGGTCAGGGAGGTCAGGAGGACATCCTGCAGGAGATGGTGCTTCTCCACAGACAGCGAGGACGGAGCTGTGCTTTAGCAGTAGACAGTTGATCACGCGCCTGCTTTCCGGTGCAGTACCAGGGCTGCAAAGGGGCTGAAGATGCAAAATAACTAGAATGCAAAATCATGGTTAATAAATGCTGTTCAATGAATTCGCGGGTGATGTGCCTTTTCCAGCTATATTTGCTAAGAAATGCACCCTGCACCAGCTAAATCTCTGGCTCCCCAGGAATAAGGAGCTTAGAAGAGCTCATCTGAGTTCTCACTTGGTTCATGAATATGCAAGCAAGCTTCCTTTTAATCTCAGATCTTATTTTATTAGATGTATTTTAATTTATTTAGTGGAGCTTCGGTTTCGCTAGCATCTATGAGAAATGTAAGGCAGCATCATTTCGTCTTCCGCGGGAGGGGAGGTGCACGAGGCGCCAAGACAGGCTCCTGAGCCCTCCATCAGCCCAGGGGGCCGGGAGCGGCCACCGTGGTGGCCACAGGGCAATGGGCGGCACAGCCAGTACCGTCAGCCTCCGCGTCCGTGGCCCCTGGCGGGTCCCTGCGGGGCAGCCTGAGCTGGCCATCCCGTGCCCCGCAGCTAGGCCTCACGCAGGACACCACGGGGCAGCTGGGCTTCTAGGGAAGAGGGTGACCCGGAGCGGCACAAACCCCAGCGAGGGTGTCCACACCCCAAGAAGGCCCACGAGAGGACGGCTGCCTCAGCGTTTCCGCTCGCCGAGGTCCAGTCTTTAAGGGAAACCCGCGTGTCTGCCGGGGATCTTTAAACCCCGTCTGTTTGGACAGCGGCACAAAACTCGGGGGCTCCTCCACCCGCTTCTGCCGCGCGAGGGGTCCCCACCTCCACGGCAGGTGTCGCGGGTTGGCCCCACGCTCCCCTCTGCGGCTGGGGCCCCTCGGTGAGGCTCCGGCGTGCCCGGCTGGCCCAGCCCTGCTCTGAAGAGCCCTCGGCGGTGGTGGCTTCTGCCCGCCTGACCCTCCCGCCACCCTCGCGTCCCTCGGGCACTGGCCAGCTGCTCCCCGAGGTGGCCACGCCAGCCAGTAGGGCCCACCCTTTACATTTATTTAAACGCACGGATGCCCACCTGACACGACACACGAGCGTGAACTCGGCGGCACAGACTGCCCCCCGCAGAAAGGGTTGAGCCCCACACAGGAACCCCTGAAGCCCCATCCCAGCCGCGCCGTGTTCCGGGGACTCCAGGCTCGTGTTGACATCAGCTGCTACCCTGCCCCGGGTCCTCTGCCCATCCGCAAGCAAGCCGGCCCCGTGCCCGCTGGCCACCCGTCCCGTGGACACTGCGTCCTCCTTCCCGGCACGAGCAGGCTGGGGCAGAGTCACCCCCAGCCCCGCCAGCCCCCCTTTCCTGAGCAGTGATGTGACAATGATGCGCGTGGGGGACCCCTCGTTCAGAGTCTTAGTCCAGGCCCCTGGGGCTCGCTGGCCTGCAGACTTGGGGGGCTCAGCCCTGGGACGCAGCCTTGAGGGAGTGACGGGGTGGGGGGCGCGGTTCTCGCCTCCCCCGAGATGTGAGTGACTGCTCCGAAGCCTGATCCGCCCCCCAGGAACCCAGCCTGCTGCACCCCTGGGCCCGGGCACAGCCGCCGCCAGGATTGGGCCCTGGTGGGAGCTGGGCGGGAGCCGTGCGCCCAGCCTGCCTTGAGGTCACGCTGGGGCCCTCCCTCCTGCTCTCCGCCCCTTGCTCCCCACAGTAAAACATCGTTTTCTATTAAATGATGTGTCTGACATTTACCAAATTTTTATGTGACAATTTAGAAGGAACCGGTTGCATTAAACAGCCTTTTTAATATTGCAGTAACATGATCAGGGGAACCTCGTGGCCTTGAGACCACAGGGGCCTGATTTACGAGCTGGGGGAGAAGGGAGAGGTCTCTGCGGGCCAGACGCCTGTGCCCCCACCCCGCGTCAGCACTAGGGAAAGTCGGGGTCCCTGATCACACGACCACAGGGGTGAAGTGGGGCCAGGGGTCCTTGAAAAGTCAGGGTGATGCACCTCCACTTGGGGGTGCTGTGCTGGCCTTGAGGGGGTTTAGCACTGAGGAGAAGCCTAACCCGGGGTTAGGCCTGGCCACCTCCTGCCAGTGGGAGTGGCGTGTCAGGAGGGACCTGGGGTCCAGCGACGTCGCCCCCAGCATGGGGACGGGGCCCGGGAGGCCCGAGAGACCGCGCACCCCGGGCCTGCTGTGCACGGCTGTCTCCCGTCGTGGGCAGAAACTGGGCCCGTCTAGCGCGCTCAGGGCCTGCCGGCAGCGTCCTCGCCCTGCGGCGGTGGGTCCCGTCATCCAGGCCAGGCCTGGGGGGGGGCTGGCGGAGAGGGAGGAGCGGGGCCAGGTTTTCAGCCGCGTCACTCAGTGACCAGAGGCCTGAGCTGGGTGGGAGGCGACCCGCTCTGTGACCTCTGGCACCCGGAGACCCGTTTCTTCCTCTGAGAATTGGGGAGTTCGTGGCAGCCAGCCACCTAGTGGGCTGGGCGGTCGAAGACCGATCCTTGAACTCAGCTGAAGCAGCAGGCGCCTGGCCTGAGGCCGCGGGAGCAGGCTCTCTCGCTGCCAGCTGCCCTGACTGTGGAGGACGTTAGCAGGGTCCGGCGCGGTGGGGGACGCCCCCCTGGCGGCGGGCCCCACAGGTGGCTGCCCCCGCTCCTCTCCAGCTGGCAGAGCCCGTGTCCTGGACGCTGCAGGCCCAGCTGTGACCGTCCGGACGGGGGCTCGGCGTGGGCAGAGCTGGCCTAGACTCTTGGGTCCTCCTGGCCGCTTCCCACTGGTGTCCACTCCCAAGAGTCGCCATTCAGCGCTACCGCCTGTCTGCTGGCCCCGGAAGCGTGATGTGCTGCAGAGGGGATCTTGGTCTTGGCACCGACGATTTAAAAACTAGACAAAACAGCTCTATTTTAAACATGGATCCTTTGCACGGCTGTTTTCTTCCTCAGCGCTCATCCTTGGCTTGTGTGCTTGTGGGTGGGTCTCCTCACTGGACTCTAAGCTCCCTGAGGACCACAGCGGCCTGCCGCGGGCCCCGGCCGAGCGGCCGGGCAGGGCTGTGGGTGGGCGGGGAGGCCGGCGGGGCGCTGGAGGGGCTGCCTGGCGGGGCCCCGCTGTTTACTCTGCTCCCCGGCGGTCTCTCCTCTCTGCCCATCTTCCTCTTAATAGTTATGGATTATGGAAAAAAAGAACAAAGCCCATTAAGAGGTTCCCCTACATTTGATTTGAGGAAGTTTTCATCAGAACGGCTCCATTTATTGGCCTTTAGCGTAAAGCCTTATTCCCTTCTCGCAAAATGAATATTGCCTTGTCTCCTTGAGAAAAATTGATTTCAACCAGGAAGGAGAATAGCAGCCTCCCTCCTCCTCCTTTCTCCTTTTTCCCTCCCACTGAGACAGAATTTATCTCTTAGGTAGGTGGGGGAGAGGGGAGAAGGAATAATTGGACTAGAAGCTAATTCCCAGAGATTCATCGTCTCGAAAGCTCCCTCCAGAATGTGGGGCGCTTGCCTCGAACCGCACGCTAATGATAAATGACAACCCTAACAGACCGTCACATTGAGACGTTCGGGCCTTCCTGCTACGAGGTGACACATTCATTTTCTCCCAGATTTACACGGGATTATTCATAAAATATCGGTGCTGGAACGTGACAAGGTGGGGGTCTGCGGGGTCCCGGGCTGCACTCGGGGTCCCGGCCGGAGCGGGGGAGGCGCCGATGGCCTCTGACGCGGTGCCTGTGGGGTCCCGGCCGGGGAGGGAGCGGCCTGTCGGCCAGAGCGCGACGCCGTCCCGCCCCGCCTGTCGCTGACCGAGCGTCTGAATGAAGGCGGTTTCCTCCGGTGCGCTCCCTCACGTGAGGACCATTTATGGGGCGCCTGCTGTCAGCACAGGCCGGGGCTGGGCACATGAGGGACAGGCGGGCGAGGCGAAGGCCACCCTGCTCTGCTGCTGGAGCCCCGTCGTCACTCCGCAGCGGGGGGCCGGGGGCAGTGAGCCCTGCGTCCGTCGATGTGCAGCCCCCAGTGACCCCCTCTCCCGCACCCGCTGCCTTCCCCCAGGTCGTCTGTACAGGAGCTCACGCTCCTCGCTGGGGGCCGTGCTTGCATCAACACCCCGACTCCTGGCTCCCCGCAGCAAGGTGGCCTTCCGGGCCGAGCCACGCCGCTCATTACCCGTGGGCCAGGCCCGCTTGCCACGACCCTCCCCAGGCCTCGTGTGCGCCATCCGGCTGGTCCTCGACGGCGGCCGAGCCCCTTTGCCGCCCTCTCTGCCGGTGTGTTTCGGGACGCCCCCCACGCCCTTGAGCCCCAGCCCGCGCTGCCCGGCCTTCTGCTCGGAGGCCGTGTCCCCGCAGTCTCCCTGGCAGCCCGTCGCCCCCAGCTGTCCTGGGCGGCCCAGCTCTGACCCCCGCTCCCTCCTCCAGCTCCAGGCCTGTGGTCCCGCAGGCCACGCTGGCAGAGGGGGCTCTGAGCCTGGGGTGACTCGCCACAGCGCCTGCGGCACTACCTAGCTGCTCAACAAGCATTAATCGGCGCCAGCGCTGAAGATCATGGTAGAATTTCCAGCCGGGCCCCGAGGCCCCGGAAAGCAGCCGCTGACTCGTGGCCGAGCCTGGCCTGCACAGGGCCAGCCTGGTCTCACCCTCCTGCCGGGCCTGTGTCCCGCGGACCTTCACTGGACACCACAGGCCAGCAGCCGCACGGCGGCGCGGAGTGGCCCTGGGCCTCTGGAAGTTGCTGGCGTCCTGCTTCTCCGTCCCCAGAGGCCCAGCCCGAGGAGCCGAGCGTGGTGCTGGAGGCCTGGGGCGGCTTCCTGGAGGTGGGGGCGGGGGGAGGGACGGAAGGGGCAGACCTCAGCCCCTGCCTGAGCTCAGAGGGGGAAGACAGCTCAGGGCCCCGGCCGCCGGCCTCCTGGCGGCCAGCTGCAGGCCCTCAGCCGGCTTGCTGGGGCTTTTAGGCGCAGCCTTTGTTTCCTGATAAGAAAGCCTCTTTTACGATTTTCAATTTGCCCTTATTTTAATGAAAAGAAGCCCGGGTTGGACCGCCCAAGACGGAGCTAATCAAATAAAGCAAATTGGTGTTACCTTCTCCTCGTCCTTATTATTTCTATGGCTCCAGCTGGAATTTATTATGAAAAGCAATTGGTTTTCATATCTGGCAGATTGCAGCCCCGCCGGCCCTCGGCCCTTCTTCCCCGTCATCTCATAAATAGCTCGGGGTGCCGGCCCCGGGGGACGCAAGGACACGAGAGCTCCCCTCAGCTTCCCCGGCCCCGTCTCCCAAATCAGGAAGACCCGTGAGCAGGTCGGCCCGGACGGCGCGGCTCACGCTGAGACCCGGCCCTCCTGGCGGCGTCGGGGGTCGGGGCTCGGGGCTCGGGGTGGCTCAGCCTCCCAGCTGTGCCACCATCACCCTGGGGTGTGCGTGAGGGGGATGAGCGGGCGAGGCCCCTCCCAGACGCCTTCTGCAGAAGGCAGGACCGGAACAATGGCGCGCCGGCCAGCGCGGCCGCCCTGGACCGGACACTGTCCAGCGGTGCCAGGGCTCGAGAAGGGGGGGCCACCCCATGGCCGGGGGGTCGCCAGGCACCAGGAAGCACGCGGTGGGTGGTCTGCGGTTTCCACCTTATAGCTGGGTGACCTTGGAGCTGTTCATTCCCTTCTTTGCCCCCCAATCTTCTCGTGCACGAAGTGAGGGCCCCCCAGCTGCCATCGAGGAGGCAGATGAGAAACGCGCGTGCGCGGCGCGGCGCTGCGTAAGGGCCGCGGCCCCG